TGTTTTTTTTAACGAGATAGGCAGTGACAAATTTTATATATAAATAAATAAATTTTAAATCATTATAAATAATTCTATTATTTATTTGTATCCTAATAAATGAAAAAAAAATTCATCAATTTTGAATATATTGCCAATCAACAATTTCTAGAAAAAAGTTTCTAAAAATCTAGAAAAAGTTAGGGAAAAAAAGTTTCGAAATCTAACTAAATTGTTTTCATATAAATGTGCATTCCTTACATAAATGAAAGACTACTGGATCAGCAGGTGGAATCTTTGGCCAAAAATTTTTTTGCTCAGCTTCAAATGATTTACCAGTTAGGATCTTTTTTTAGAGTGGGAAACCCTACTGAATTAATCATGTCCTTATTACCTCAAGACTAGATTACTGCAACACATTCTATATGAGGCTCCTTAGAAGATTACTCAGAAACATCAGTGGATCCAGAAAGCAATGGCCTGCATGCTGGAAAGTCAGTGTTACTTCACAAATATTACACCCATATTGTGGGCACTACATTGGCTACCAATATATTCTGAATACAGTTTAAGTGAGGTTCTGATCTGCAAAACACTATATGTCCTGGATCCAAGCTGCCTACAGGACTGGTCCCTCCAAATAAAATCTGCCCATCCTGTCTGAGCAGCGTAGGAATAGATACATTGGATACCATCACCTTGAGATGTCAATAGGATGGAAGCCTGGGAGCAGGCATTCTTGGCAGCAGATGTGTCTCTCTGAAATCTGCTACACCTGAGATCTAAATGGTTGCCATATTTTTAATATTTCAGAAAGTGGTAAAAATGTGGCAGTTCTGTTCAGCCTTTGGGGCTTAATTTTTAACATAATGTTTAATTCCTGGATATTTTTACTTTATCATTTTCATATACTTATAGCTTGATATGAACCCTGAAGAGTCTGTTGAAGGGGGCAGGATAAAAATGATGCAAACAAACTCCACAGTAGAATTTCTTACAACTCAAAGCAAAAAGCAGCTCTTACCTTAAACTTTGCAGCTCTTTTTGTGCCTGTTCAATCATGTGGACTAAATGCCTAATCAGTGGACAAAAGTACAAGTTCTTAATATTATTAAAATATAAAAAAAGTAAAACAAAGTATTACCTTACAGTAATTCCAAGTACCATTCTTGGTCATCTGAAGATGGAACCAATAGGAAAGGGATCTACTATAGCAGCATTATGGGGAGAGCAAGGGTTATAGCACCCCCTGCTGTATGGAACAGCCATAGGCTCGTCTGTAAAAACAAACTTACAGTGTCAAATGAAGGTAGTAAGTTCTGCCATGTTGCAGTGCTACAAATGTTTATCAAGAGGATCCCTGCTGACAGGGATATTGTAGCAACTGCTTCTCTGACCCAAGTGGGCTGTGACATCCAAGGAGGGCTGCTTATTGCTGGCCAAGTAGGTCAGTGAGATATATTTCCTGTCCCACCTGCTTAAGAAGGATGTTATTTGCCTCCCCCAGTCACCTGTCTTATGTGAGATAAACAGGCTATTGTTCCATTTGCTCACTGCAGATTCTAAGCATCCTGAGAACCTCTAGTTTGTATGAAATTTGTTCTCTTGGGTTGAAAGGATTTGGAGAGAAAATTGGAAGTATAATCTGCTTTGCCCAGTGAAGTTTGGAATTCATTTTGGGTGTGAAGCAGGGATCTGGACTTATAATCAACTTGTCCTGATAAAACATCTTCTGTGAATAGTGGAAGAGCCATCTTCCCCTATTCACAGAAGATGAATTAATCTTGGATTTTTAGAAGATATGGATGCTCTTGCAAAATGGCTGCTGGGGAACCTGCCCCTACCCACAAAATTGGTCCCATATGGAACACAATCAGTTACATGGCACTGATTACCAGAACAGAACTTGATCCCCTCTCGCCACTTCCCTGTAGGCCACTCCCTATTATCCCTGCTTGCTTTGGGCATTTTTCTTCCAAACTAAACAATAGGCTATAGCTACTCATCATTTTTATTTTCTAAGAAGCCTTACGAAGACGAAAAGAATAGTCTGAAATACAAACGACACTGGAGACTGATGCTTTGAAAGCTAGCATGCTATAAACCTATCTTAAATTAAAATATATCTCTTAACAACGTAAAACGTTAGCTGTGGCAGGCACCTTCGCAGCCTCCAACAAAGGTGTCTATCGGTACACTGGAGGTCTTAGTGCCAGACTGGGGACTCATTTTTATAAAAACTGAACATTCAATATTTGTCATTTAAAATGTTTTACCTGGATAAAATAAACAAACAGAGCTTATGTAATTCGGTGTTCCCAAATCTGTTTTGTATTTTATAATACTGTTGTTAGTTTTACCAACTTTTAAACCTTATACTAAAAATATTCAAGTGGTAAATATATCTGATCTACTGAAAGAAATTACAGAACATATTTTGTATTTTTATATACAAGTAAAAAGGAATGAGTACCTGCTGTGTGGTACAAAGTAATAAGTATAGATTTCAGCCTCAACAGAAAATATGTGCTTCCCATTCCAACAGAAAGCCAAGATTCATAGCAGTACAGGTAACCCTCATTTAGCAACCACAATTGGGACCGGCAACTCGGACGTTATGACCTTACTTCCGCTTTCCGTTGCTTTACAGACCTGGGAAGGTCGTAATTGCGAGGATTAGTTGTAAAGTTACTTTTTCCTCACCTCTGTAACTGCGCATAGTCACTAAATGAGGCAGTCGCTAAAGGAGGACTACCTGTAGCCAGGTGGTGGCTGTAACATCATCTTAATGTATCAGTTAAGTCAATTGGTAGCATTCCTTTATTACAAAAAAAGCAAAAACACAAACTCCCAGAAAATAGAGGTGAAATATCAAGTCTTCCAGATAATCCCTTTTAAGGCTACAACAAACAACTTACTCATTATATACTTTCCAGGCATTGCAACCATACTGAGACATCAACTCCAAATTTTCAATTCGAACTGCTTGGTGTTCCAGCTGAGCCATTGAGTTATTAACACATTCCTGCCATGCTGTAATGTCATTCTTCTGCCCAGAGGAGGGTGCAGGCAGCTCATATCTGTAATAAAAATGAGAGGAAAAACCACTGAATCTCATCAAAGAATATAAGTGATACATAACCCATTAATTATTTTTAAGATTTAAAATTATGAATGTATCATTTTTTAAGAGTTAAACACAATTTAAATATTTGAAGATTTCAGGGCTTCTAACAGCAGAAGTAATGACCCACTGTCTGTTTTTTCCAAAGATATTGGCAAAATGCACATCCATCTTTTTTGATAAACTGATGATTTATAATTCCACAAGATCTCCTAATTTTTGAAGATGCAGAGAATTATTGACTACTACCCAGTTTTTGCTTGTCAGCATGAGGCAAGAACTGAAATGTTACCTTTTAATATTTCAAAACACCGCCCCCCCAAGCTTTAGTTCTTTCTAACTTTTGCCTTAACATAGATGAGACATTGTATCTACAGATAGCAAGCCTTACCTTTTCATGCTCAGCAATTCTATGGGCTGTCGAGCTGCTAGACGTTCAAACTCATTTCTCATGATTTCAGTCTATGAATCAAATTAATGGCAAATTAGTTATGTCCCAAAAAGCAGTAGGTGAAAGTTTATAATCAACACATCATGCAACAGACATAAACTTATAGCAATCTTACCCCATCGGGTACCTTTTAGAAGTTTTGGATTATAAGCTTTATCACTCCTTGGTCAGTACATTGGGATGATGGAAGTTGTAGTCTAACATGTCCAGAGGTCAGCAGTTTGTGTAAAATAGGTTTACACAACAGAAGTACATTTTTTCTTGAATTAGAGGCAGACTTCATTCATATACTTTATCTCTGCAACCAAAGTTTCACTACATCTGATGCAGAGATTGGACTGAACCATCCATTCACAGCTGATCAGATGAATACAAAACCAAAGCGCAATACAGGTAGTCCCCAGTTTAAGAACGAGTTCCGTTCCCAAGGTCTGTCCTTAAGTTGAATTTGTACGTAAGCTGGAACAGTATTATTGTATAATACTGTATACAATACTGTATTGTGTAATTAACCCGAACCATTGTGTATTTAACTCAAATTTTGCACAAAATTGCAAAATTTACGGGTTGTCCGTAAACTGGGTGTATGTAACCCGGGGACTACCTGTACTATCTATGGAAAAATATTCTAGATAAAGAACCCTTCATTTCTTCCCTGTGCTATGCTAGTTTGCCAAGCACATAGTTCACAAATTATTGGCCTGAAGTCTATTATTTGAACTGGAAAACAAAATTCTTTATTTAGTTGTTTGCTAGGTAGTTTAACCTAAAATGCAAGAGACAAAACTTCTGGTGAATGAATGTAGACTGTAATCCTCTGCAGACTTGCCAGAGAGGAAATTAGATGGGACAAAGTGGAATTTACTTCTGAATAAATATTATACTACTACTCTCAGTTTTTGTGAGCCAAAAGGCCATTTCAGCTACACAGTAATGTAACATTTCCTCTATCCACATCCATTTCTGCGGTGCTTATTCCGTTTGGCAGAAGCACTATTGCCCCTCTCCAACCCAAAAGTTTCTGATTTCTACTAAGCCTGCAAAATCTGTTTTATCAGAAATCCTTGCAAGGAAGAAATAAATAAAACAAGAATTGTGGGCAACGGCAGGACTGCTCATCTCTCTAAATAGCAAGCCTGCATCAGGAAAAGTGTCAATAAGCACAGGTCAACCAAGCAGATTTCATCCTCCACCAGTTTCTCCCGTGGCTCGCGCTCCGGAAAGTCTAAATGGCTTCAAGAAGAGCCATTCCGTAATTCCCAGCCGTTGGATCGAACTAGGGGAGCCGTCGTTACACTCCCCGGATGGCGGGCGCAGCCCAGCCACCGAAAGCGCCCCGAGGGTGCTCCGGCTTCGATCG